ACACAAACACACACACACACACACACACACACACATAAGCGCAGACACACACACAACAGCTCACATGGGGAATGCAGGGAGGGAACAGGAAAGAGCGATAGGAGGGATGAGAGAAAACATACAAGCGGGAATTCTTTCTCTTTACAAAGTATAATCTATGGCTTAAATCTCCCTCTGCCTGTTAACTCTCCGAAGCCCTGCTTCTCAAATCTCGGACTTTTTTTCTACTTGTCTGCAAAAAGCTTGGTCCAGCAGGTAGCTGCACAGATGAACACACACGCAAACACACATTTATATAAACGAGGGCAGGCGTACGTATTTGCAACACGGAGGGGGTCTAAAGCTGGTTGGCATCAACATGTAACCACGATGACAGACTGACAGCACTGAACGAAGCGTTTCCTCTGCAAACGCAGTCACCAACACGAACCACATCATACCTTTTGTTGCCCCTTTTTCCGCCTCTCTGGTGCTCGCTCCCCTCAGGGCATCCTTGTCCTATCATCCCCCTCAAGTTAACAGATTATTTCTGGGTGTCCGGTAAGTCCCGGCCAGCGGTCTCTACAGCCGGGGCGAGCGCGCCGCAGAGGAACGGGGACGCTCGGTCTGTCCGCACCGAAGCTCCGCGATGTGCACGAGTTATCTCCCACCCTGTTGTTTCACTCTGAGCTCCGCTGTGGTTAATGTGTTTGGAGTGTGTGTGTGTGTGTGTATGTGGAAGAGAGAGAGAGAGAGAGAGTGTGTGTGTGTGTGTGTGCCAGAGAGGGGCTAACCTCGAATAAAGTCCAGTTTTTCCCTCTCCAGCGTCCTTTCGCTCTCACTTCTCGCTGTCAGCCAACAACCAAACGTCAACTTCGCTACTTCAACTCCAAAACGTCATGTCATAACGTTAATACTACACAGTCTCTTCCTCTCTCTCTCTCACTCTTTCTCCTCAAAAGAGGTCCGTGTCTCTCCCTCAGCGCAAAACAGCGGCAATAGGTGCGACTAATCTCTATTTCCACCTCGCTTTGTCCCCCAAGTCCTCAGGGCGCCTCCGTCTTTTTAAATAAACCAACTGTGTTCAGTAACGGTTTGACAGGTGTCGCCTCCAGCGCACGTTGTGTCCTCCTCCTCCTTCGCCTCCTCTTCTTCATCATCTAGAGCCGAGACTGCGCGTGATGTTGTTTTCTGTGTGTGTGTGTGTGTGTGTGTGTGTGTGTGTGTGTGTGTGTGTGTGTGTGTGTGGGGGGGGGGGAGGGTACTCTTTACAGCGTACAGCGGCTCTCTGAGCTCCGTTACAGGGGTTCAGGAGGTCGCAACGGTCCAGCAATTACCGACAACTCACCACGCATTAGAGTGACAGGTGCACAGACACACACCCACGCACACACCCACACACTCACACACAGGCTACACAAAGCACCGGAGACTTTAGCTGTTGGGGCTTTGGGGGCCCCCTTAGATGGAAAATGAGTGGATTAAAGCCCTCGAGGAAAAGGAAGGAGAAAGGTTTCTTACACTTGAGAAAATGAAGTAATACATATTATTTATATAAGTCTGAGTTTTAATTTGACCCTAATCATAAACATAGAGTCACTGGCATCATTGTGTGTCAGGACGAGTCAAAGGCAGGGGTCCTTGAGGCATAATGACTGTGAATCAGCTCGGGGTTAAATTGATTCTGATGTGTTTTCTGACTCTGTGACCAGTGAGTTTTATTTTCCTAAGAGGCACACCTCACAATTAATTTGCATTTATTACCTTTGCGCTGTTTGCTCACTGAGGAGTCGCCACAGCTTAGGCTTTTATTGAATGCGAACACAGCAATTTTAAATGTTGCTTTCCCTGACAGAAGTTGGTCATGCCAGACCGAGGTGCAAACATTGGCACACCTCTGTCCTCTTCAATCACGCACCCACCCACACACTCTGCAGCTCATCTGCACACAGAGCATCTGTACAGGGCCTGTGTGGGCCCCTTGGGGCTCCAGGTGCAGGTGCAGCTACACCACCAGCACCCTCTGGCGCTGTTCCAGAGATGCGGTAGTAGGACTTAGTCTGATTCATTTTGAAAGACTCTCATAGTCAGACTCATGGAAACAATCAGAGGGACTGGGGCAGATTTCCCTAGCAGTTATTTTATCTGCTTAAAAAATGTTATTTTAGAGTGTGTCTGCTCTAATCTACCACTGTGTCATACTGTATATTTGACCCACACAGTGCAACCCTGAAAAACGTCTTGATTTCCATAATACTATTATTATGTTTTTAATGTCATCTCGTGAGACTGTGTACCCGAACACTGATGTTCTTAATCAATACACGAGTCCATCACAGCGAGCCATTGCTAACCAAACCTTGACACCCATCATGGCCACACAAACGCCAAAAAACCCCAATTTTACCCTCACATTAGTAAAAGTCTAATCATAACATAAGTACTACTAAATTAATTATTTGGAAAAGTGTAAGTTGTGTTTTTCTGCCTGTGAGAACAAAACCGTTTACAATCAAAATCTCTGTGCAGGAGGCGCTAACAGAAACCAATCAGGAAATGAGCAAACGAACGTGCCATGAAACTATCAGTTGCTAGGGAACAATGAGTATTCCCTGACCAATTGCAAGTGGTTACTGGACGTTACTGGCTGTTGCTGTTGAATTGATTTCTAACCCATATTCATGTAGGCCAAAAGACCGGTCAGTGACCTCATGGTTACCACTGGTATTTTGTATTCCAGACCAGTTGTTAAATGATTGCAGGAGGTTGCTGATTGTCGCTAAAAGAAAGACCTATATGGTCCTGCATCGGAAACCTTGTGATTGCAGCATAATTTGTATTGAAGATGCCAACTTGTCTGCAAACAGTTGCCAAGTGGTTGTGAAAGTACAATGCAAACTGCAAATGGACGATATTTGCCTTCCAAGTACATGTTTGGCATTTTGAAACACAGTGATGTAATAAGGCACAACTTTTATTTTGAATGCAAAGTGTTTCAGTCGAGTGTTTGCAGACCTGTCGGCGTCTTTAATGGAAACCATGAGCAGTTGCCAAGTTGCAATCTGATATGCAACCAAAGCAGCTATACCCGAGAACAACTATCAATCGCCCACAATCAGTCGACTTATTAGATGACACACATTTATCGTAGAAACCAGAGGTTGTCAGAGGATCACCGACTGGTCTCTAGGCTTGTGTGGCTGAATTTGTGTAGACCCCTGAAGGTATTTATCCATAATAGATATTATAGCGTCATCATAATCTAGCAACCATATATCAGCAGGCTTTAGCATTTATGCACTTGTAACACTTTATAAAACAGTTGATCATTCTAATTCAATTACATCTAATTTAGCAAATATTATTAAATACTTCATATGTCTAAATTGTCATGCTTACAGTGTCAGTATCACTTACATCATGTGATATGATAATTTATGAAGTCAAGTGTACTGTAATTATGGAGTGTAGCAGTCTCTAGTAATGGTCGTACTTACATATTCCTTCTGCTTGTGCTCTAAATGAGGCAGTGGGACGTGATGCCGGATAATTATTGCTTAGCTATTTAAGTAGTCTGGTACTATAATAATGCTAACATTTGACATTTTATGCAGTTTTATTTATTTTTCCACATATCGTATAAGCAAAATATTAGGATAAAGGAAAGTGTACAATATTGTAAGTCCACTTGTGGATAGATGCGTTGTGTATGTTTGAAACATCCACATTTAGCAATCCAGTTCTGTATATTCTTCCCCCTGTCTTAATACAACAGTGTAATGTTGACTGATTTATCATTCTCATTCTGTTTTATATTGTCATATAAAGGAGCTTGAACCTGACTTGAGAACCTGAAGTACAATACAGTTCAGTTCAGTTCATCCTGCTACGTTTACAAAGATTACCCTTGATTTTATTGATCTACATCAGGGTGTTTCTTATTGTGTTTTTTACCCTCCCATTTTTGTTGAAAATGTTCTTAAATAGAGGGAACTTATTAAAATCAGGTTACTGTTTTTTCTGTTTGTTTTATGGCATTTGTAATAAGAAAAATTGAGTTATTCCTGCAGGAACTATTACTGTGTCTGTGGTAAATCACTGTAATTTATGGTGGATTTATCCCTCGTGGTATCTGTTTAACACCCCCGTTCAGGCAATTATTGTCTTAAGTAAAAGTAGGTTAAAGGATTAGCTGCATGTTCCCCTTCAAATATTAAAAAACCAAAAAAGTTGTAGCCACAAATGGCAAACAAAATGGCCCAGATTATACCAAAACAAATGATACACAATCATTTCAACTCACTGATATGTAGATTTAGCATGATTGATGAAATTGCTCTCTGCATAATAAAAATTGCATTAGCAGCTGCTTAATGCTTAATACTTAAAATCTGAATATTATCTATATTTACCAGTGCAATTTCTGCACCAATAATTGTTGGTTTGTTGTGCAATATTGTGGTCATTCTGCACTGGCTTAGCCAATCAATACTTAAATGCTCATCTCTGATTGTTTAGACCACAAAAAGCAAAACAAACCACTCTTCTTCTTCAGGCTTCCCTCAGTCTCATTGTACAGACTTTGCATTGCCTCCTGCGTGACACATTTGCATGTTGGTTATATTCAGAATGGGTTCCCTGTATGTTCATGCTAATAGCAGTGATGGCAAGCTCAGTAATTTTCTGAGAGCACTACTAAAGATGATATCAGCCTGTCAAGTCAGACAAAGCCTTGAGCCAGTATTATCTACTGTGCAATAATTTTAATCTAAAGGGGACCATAATTTATAAAAAATAACATTGTGCTGTATTACATAAGATTTGACACTAGTGAATGACACGAGAAACACGTGAGCAGAGTGTTTGCTGAGGTTATATATAAGAAGTTGGGAAGCTTTTCATAGACCTCTAGTATCGCCCCCTGCTGGCCATTAGAAAAAAATAATATTTAAGGCATTTCCACATTGGCCTCACTTTTCAGTAAGAGGCTACATCTCTTCAGTAGAGATTAAAATATAAAATACTGAATTTAGTAATTAAGCATTTATGGTATAAAATAGTGTAAAATGATAACAAATGGCTTTGTGCAAACTGGAAAAAGCCCAAATTTATGATTTACTTGCACAGTCTCACCAGAAGCAGGAAAGCAAAACTGGATCAACAGATGTTCTCTTAATTAATTCAAAGATCATTTTAGAATGATAAAATATAAATATTTTGCCAAGCATGCAATGCACTCTCTATGGTAAAGGCAAAAAAGAGCTTTCTCTGCATCATTTATCTTCGCCTGTTGTTAATGTTGCCTCACTGATTGCAGGCATTTGAATTTCTACTGTAAAGTTGTTGAGGAAGTACGCGGGCTGTTGCCAGCCGTTATAGTAACTGTAGTCGGAGGAGGATTTACGACAAAAAAATGTAAAGTACCCTTAAATACTTCTACCCTTCAGCTGGCCATTTCCCCAATGCATTACTGCTCATTTGCATAAAGTTGAACTCTGGTCAACTTCCTCCATTTCCAAGTAGTCTGAGAAACCTGCTCTTGTCACGCTTCATCTTATCATTAATTTAAAGTTACCAGCTGCTTCATGTCATATCGCCACTGCAAGTGTGAACAATGGTAAGAATGCACAAGCAATTAGCAGTGTTGGGATCCTCACTTATAAATCTATGTTAACACTACATCAGTGCGTACAAATGCACATTTTGGAGTAAGGTGTTTGTTACACACAGGTGGGAACAAGACTTTGTGAAGCTTAAAAACATATTTCTAGTAAGTAAGGTTTGCCAAGAGGCCAAGGAAAGCCTATAAAGCAGCGTAAACACAGGTGCAAGAAAAGGAAACACAATAACACTATTTCTTTTAACCCAGTTTGCTTGCATTACTTGTTTAACTCAGTTTAGGTTATAGTCCACCTGTACTGATGCTCAGGGTGGAGCAGGACAAGTTAAAAAAATAGATTATTAACGATTACTTAATACAACAGTTGGAGTGTTTGTCATTAAAGGCAAATCCTCTTATGTTATTAATTACAAGATCAGATTGTTTTATGTTAAATTTGTCTTCCTCGGTTTAAAAGGTGATGGTAAAGAATCAAATCTGCATTTATCCTGCAACGTAGCTCAGGCTTTGTCCTCTCTGACACAGGGACAGCAGCAAACTGATTGACATTCTCAAGTGGTCCAAATAAATGATGG